CCAGGCATCCAGCCAGCCAGACAGCCAGGCATCCAGCCAGCCAGGCATCCAGTCAGCCATCCAGGCATCCAGACAGCCAGGCATCCAGGCAGCCAGCCAGCCAGGCATCCAGCCCGCCAGCCAGCCAGGCATCCAGCCAGCCACCCAGGCATCCAGCCAGCCACCCAGCCACCCTGGCAGCCAGCCAGCCAGCCAGCCATGCATCCAGCCAGCCAGGCATCCAGCGAGTCAGCCACCTAGGCATCCAGCCAGCCAGGCATCCAGCCAGCCAGCCAGGCATCCAGCCAGCCAGCCAGGTATACAGCCAGCCAGCAGAGGCATCCAGCCAGCCAGCCAGGTATACAGCCAGCCAGCAGAGGCATCCAGCCAGCCATGCATCCAGCCAGCCATCCAGGAAGGCATCCAGCCAGCCAGCCAGTCAGGCATCCAGCCAGCCAGCCAGGCATCCAGCCCGCCAGCCAGCCAGGCATCCAGCCAGCCAGCGAGGCATCCAGCCAGCCACCCAGCCAGCCAGCCAGCCAGCCAGCTAGCCAGGCATCCAGCGAGTCAGCCACCTAGGCATCCAGCAAGCCAGGCATCCAGCCAGCCAGCCAGACATCCAGCCAGCCAGCCAGGCATCCAGCCAGCCAGCCGGCCAGGCATCCAACCAGGCATCCAGCCAGCTAGTCAGCCAGGCATCCAGCCAGCCAGGCATCCAGCCAGCCAGCCAGGCATCCAGCCAGCCAGCCATCCAGCCAGCCAGCCATCCAGCCATGCATCTAGCCAGCCAGCCAGCCAGGCATCCAGCGAGCCAGGCATCCAGCCAGCCAGTCAGTCAGTCAGCCAGCCAGCCAGCCAGCCAGCCAGCCAGCCAGCCAGCCAGCCAGGCATCTAGCCAGCTAGGCACCAGCCAGCCGGCAAGGCATCCAACCAGGCATCCAGCTAGCCAGTCAGCCAGCCAGCCAGCCAGGCATCCAGCCAGCCAGCAAGCCAGGCATCCAGCCAGCCAGGCATCCAGCCAGCCAGGCATCCAACCAGCCAGCCAGGCATCCAGACAGCCAGGCAGCCAGCCAGCCACCCAGGCATCCAGCCAGCCAGCCAGGCATCCAGCCAGCCAGCCAGTCATGCATCCAGCCAGCCAGCCAGCCAGCCAGCCAGGCATCCAGCCAGCCAGGCATCCAGCGAGTGAGCCACCTAGGCATCCACCCAGCCAGGCATCCAGCCAACCAGGCATCCAGCCAGCCAGCCAGGCATCCAGCCAGTCAGGTATCCATCCATCCAGGCATCCAGCCAGCCAGCCAGCCATGCATCCAGCCAGCCATCCAGCCCGTCAGGCATCCAGCCAGCCAGTCATCCAGGCAGCCAGCCAGCCAGTCATCCAGGCAGCCAGCCAGCCAGGCATCCAGCCCGCCAGCCAGCCAGGCATCCAGCCAGCCAGCCAGGCATCCAGCCAGCCAGCCAGGCATCCAGCCAGCCAGCCAGGCAGCCAGCCAGGCATCCAGCCAGCCATGCATCCAGCCAGCCAGGAATCCAGCGAGTCAGCCACCTAGGCATCCAGCCAGCCAGGCATCCAGCCAGCCAACCAGTCATCCAGCCAGCCAGGCATCCAGCCTGCCAGCCAGGCATCCAGCCAGCTATCCAGCCAGGCATCCAGCCAGGCATCCAGCCAGCTATCCAGCCAGGCATCCAGCCAGCCATCCAGCCAGGCATCCAGCCAGCCATCCAGCCAGGTATCCAGTCAGCCATCCAGCCAGGTATCCAGCCAGCCAGCCAGCCATTAATTAATTAATTAATTAATTGTGACTGTGAAAAGTGTGCAAAGTGGAATGAGTTGCAAATTTTGTTGAAAAGTAGCACCCTGACGAAGCTGAAACAAGACATGTCTGCAACATGTTCAGTGACAAAACCTTGTCCCACTTCAAGGACACAGCACTCTTGACAGTTATTTTGTGCAACAGGGGTCTAGTGACTCTCAGGCTGGTCCTAGTGGCCTTAAAAGACAAAGAAAGGAAGAAACCCTAGATAAGGACTTGTTACCTAAAGTCTTTGTGGAAGGGGATTCCCCTTGCAAGCAATAAGTCCTCCCTCTCTCCTCCCCCTATCTTCCACATGCCAGCAAGTCTCTTCAATAAAGGTAAGTAAATTTATTTATTTATTTAATGTCTTTGCAAACAGTACATTGAGATTGTGTATATACAATAGTGGGATGACTCACGAAATCGTAATGACACGATTGCAATGCAATGCAATGCAAAGAGAGCCTCTATTATGCCTTCGCATTATGGGCCAACTTAACATTATTGGCTTACATTCTACTTATACTAAGAAATAGTATATCATAGTTGTACAGTAGAATATTAATTATAAATGAATCAAAATTTGTATAATACAAAGATATACGTATTTATATTCTAAAATGCTTTTGTGAAAAACAATGATTCAATTATATTCCTGTCAACAATGGATAAAAGGTTCAATGTGATTGTTTCAGTTATGATGTGGGAGTACATAGGTGAGTAAGTGTGTACTGAGTATTTAGCATTTAGTCTAGGGTGATTAAGTGGCTTTTGAGAAGAGTCTTAAATTGATTTTCAGACTGGGTTACTTTAATATCTTCTGGTAATGAATTCCATATTTTGGGACCCTTTACGTGCATAGAGTTTTTACACAGTGTGATATGGACACGAGGTATATCAAAAAGAGATCTGTGTCTTGTGTTGTGGTCACGTGTCCTGTTTAGGTTGGTGAGGAAAAGTTTGAGTGAAGGGTTTATATTTGCGTGTATTGTTCTGTGTATGTAGTAGGCACATGAATAAGTATGTCAATGGTCCAAGTAGGACCGAAACGTCGTCGTAAGCTTCTCTCTTTTATGTGCAGGTTATTTGTGTATATGGATGTTCTTAATGGTAAGCAGATTCAGACTTTTGAAAATTGGTGGAGTATGCTGGCGGGAGTGGGAATTTGTTATCATTCTTACTGCTGCCTTTTGCTGGGTTATTAGGGGTTTTAGGTGATTGGATGTTGTTGATCCCCATGCACAAATTTCATATGTAAGATAAAGCTATATGAGTGAATGGTACAGTGCAAGGAGAGCTGATTGTGGAATGTAGTACCTTATCTTTGATTGTATGCCTACAGTATTGGAGATTTTCGTGGTGATTTGTTGTATGTGTGTCCGGAACTTAAGGCTACTGTCAAGGTGGATACCTAGGAATTTTCCCTCTGTGAGTCTTGTGACTGATGATCCATTTAGCGTAATGTTAATTGGATCATTTGCAGCTTTGTTTCCAAACTGAATGAAATAGGTTTTATAAGTGTTCAAGGTAAGTTTGTTAGTCATCATCCAGGCAGATATTTTCTGTAATTCAGCATTGACTGTGCTTGCTAGTATGACTGCGTTTGGGTGGGAAAATACATATGTAGTGTCATCTGCAAATAATATGGGTTTGAGTAGCTGTGATGCATTCGGTAGATCATTAATGTAGATAAGAAAGAGGAGTGGTCCAAGGATGCTTCCTTGTGGGACTCCTACTGTGATTGGTTGGGTGGAGGAGTTTGCATCATTTGCATACACATATTGAGTTCTGTTACTAAGGTATGACTTTAGGTAGTTGAGGGAGTGGCCTCTGATACCATAGTGCATTAATTTGGAGTACAGTAGTTCATGGTCGACTGTATCGAAAGCTTTACGTAAATCAATGAAAATGCCCAGCGGGACTTATTTCTTTTCGAGTGTGGTATATATTAGTTCTAGCATGTGTATGATAGTGTTATTTGTGCTTTTATTATTTCTGAATCCAAACTGACAAGGGTTTAATATGTTCTGTGAAGCGAGGTAGGAATAGATCCGTCTATGAATTAATTTTTCAAAGATTTTAGAGAGCAGTGGTAAGTTAGATATTGGTCTATAGTTATTCAAGTCAGCTTGGTCACCTCCTTTATGGATCGGAGTGACCCTTGCTATTTTGAGGATTGTTATTTTTAATGTTTATTTAAACTGTAATTTATGTATTGTATAATATATATGTATTTATCTGTGTTGTGTGTATGTAAAACTATAGTTATTCTTTAAAAAATGTATTTTTTGTGAATATTTTTGTGGGTCTGGAACTAATTAATTTTATTTACATTATTTCTTATGGGAAATAATGCTTCGCCTTATGGCCGTTTCCTGGAATGGATTGCGGCCGAAACCCGGGGATTCACTGTATAGGAGAGGTCTGGTGGACTAAGGAAAAGTTGCTTAGTAGCTCAAATGCCTACAGTATTTGTTTTGAATTCTATTGGTGATATGGAATTTATTGAATTTTGTGTATAATTGGACAAATTACCAACTTCTGTTCACTTTAAAGAGTACATACAGATAGTCTAGTGACCATTTTCTTTTGATCAATTGATAAAGCTGCATACCAGCAAAATAGCTAGGAATTAAATCAAATTGAGTAGTAGAATTGGCTTAATATGGAACTCAAATGGGCAGAATTGCAAATACATAAATTGTGCACAGACCACCACATTTGCACCAGTGTAATTTTGTAAGTTTATTATTCAGAGAGAGAGAAAGAATGAGAGAATGTGTGAGAGAGAGAGTGAATGAATGAATATTATCCCTATTTTCCTCACATTTTAACTGATGATGTAGAGGACAGGGGGTAGTTGGCAGCCTGGAATCTGGTCATTGTTCGAGTGGTAAGTGGTTGTTGAGCTGGGGTGGGTGTGTCCAGAATTTTATTTGGTCGTTATTTGAAATTACTTTTCACGAATATCCCACACACAGGAGAGAGAAGCTAATGACAAGGTTTTGATCCGACTTGTAAATTGTCCAAGTCCTGACAGAAACATCATAAGCTTCCTCCTACATGTGGGATATTTGTGTATTGTTCCAGTCATGGTATTGTGCCTTTTTCTTCTTGAAATTACATTATGAGAATGTTTTTTCAACAGGGGTCAACAGCACTTTGAATAGTATTTGCATTTATTACTCTTGTGCTTTTTGGTTATAAATTTACTAATATCCACAGGTGAAAGTGTTGATGACTGTGGTGGTGGCTATAGTGAGAGTGTAGCAGAGATGTGTGATGAACTCATGAATGGATCACTACCACTGCTTATTCCAACACCCAATGGTAGAGATGAAGCTGGAACCTCACGTGATTGTTTCTTACTAAACCCACAAGTCAGTTCATCTCATCACATGAATATGTTTACATACCTGGGTATGTATCATCTATCAGTACAATGTATCTGCTGTCTGTGCCTTCTTTTCTTAACCCTTTCGAGGTTGGTCCTGTTGGTCTACGGCTTTGAAGCCAGGGCCGATCCCATAGTTCTACACCATGAGCTCAGCTCTCTCAGATAACCTGTGAGCAGTAAATTTGGGCCTAGATATGAGAGACTGGGTCTGTGCAGTAAGTGTGCACCATATAAAAAAAATTCTGCAGCACACAGTGCATAAAAGGAAAAAACTGCAACAGTGTTTGTAGTTTAAAACTGACTTTGCAGTGTATTTTCATATGGTTTTATGTTTATATTCTAGGTTTCTTAGTCTTATTTGACAGAATGGAAAACATATTATAGAAAAAGAGATGATTTTGACTGGTTTCAGGACTGAAAGCTTGAAATTGAGCTCAAAGTAGCAGAAATGTTCAGTTTTTGCTGATATTCCAGAGTACACAAATCACATCACTCATCCAATACCTGTTCAACTGATCAATCTAATACGTGTTCACAAATGCACAGATATTGTTTATACAATTATTACAATAGTGTAGTAGTCTGCATAACGATAAATCTTCTGTTGTTTTTTTTTTTTTTTTTTTTTTTTTTTGTGTGTGTGTGTGTGTGTGAATAAAAATTCAAATAGAAAACAAGCGTAATAGTATAGGAGAGACCTGAGGATGTGACTAATAAACGGAGGAAATGTTGTTTTAACCCTCTAGGGGTTCAAGCCGTAGTTCTATGTCATGCGCTCAACTCACCCAGATAAGCTGTGAGCAGTAAATTTTGACCTAGATATGAGAGAATGTGGTAAGTGTGCGCCATAGAAAACAAATTCTGCAGCACACAATGCATGATGAGAAAAAATGCGACCGTGTTTTTGGATTAAAGCACCGACCTTGCAGCGTATTTTCATGTGGTTTTTACAGTTGTATTTACAGTTTCTTGGTCTTGTTTGATAGCATGGAAGATATATTATAGAAATAGAGATGATCCTGACTGGTTTTAGTAATAAAGTTGAGCTCAAAGTAGTGGAAATGTTCGATTTTTGCCGATGTTGAAGAGAAACAAATGACATTATGTGTCCATTACTCATCAACTGGTGGGTCTAACATACGTTCATGAATGCGCTGATATTATTTATACAATTATTATAATATTTCTTAAATCTTCTACTTTTTTGGTGTGAATAAAAATTCTTTATGTAAAAAATCTAAATGGAATTCATCTGTAAAGCCTGGAAACATAACTAATAAACAGAGGAAATGTTACTTTAGTGCCAGGAATGCCTGCATTGTTTATTCCGGACCCTATTTTGAAATTGGAATATTTTGAACTTTGTATGCAATTGGCCAAATTAGGAATTTCTGATCACTTTATTGGGTAGTTGAAATAGTTAATTGGGCAGTTTCTTGTGCCCATTCGATAAAATAGAAGTAATACTAGCGAAATACGTAGCTAAGAATTTGGTCGACTGGAATAATGTAATTGGCCTAAAATAGGAGTCAAAGTGGGCAAAACCACCGATGCAGTAAAATTCGCAGTAGTGTAATTTCATCAGTTTTCCATCAAATTTCGTACTTTTTCTTTTATTACCTTCAGAAAAAGATTCTCTACCATTTCATAAGAAAAAATAACAAAAAATATTTTTGAAAATTCTTGGGCCCTCGAAGGGCTAATGCCAGGAATGTCTACATTGTTTATTCTGGTCCCTATTTTGAAATTGGCAATTTTTTAATTTTGTGAAATTGACCAAATTACCAAATTCTGATCACTTTCTTGGGTAGTTCAAATAAGTAAATGGGTGGTTTCTTATACTCAGTCAGTAGAACTGAAGGAATACTAGTGAAACGGCTATGAATTTGGTCGACTGGAAGAATGGAATCAACCAAAAATAGGGCTTGAAGTGGGTGAAATTACTGATGAATAAATATCGCCAAGACTGTTAACTTTGCAAGAGTGTAATTCCATAAGTTTTCCATCACTTTTAATTCCCTTCTTTTACATACCCATCCAAATTTATGCACCAACCTTTGCAGCTTCTCTCCAGACTCTCCCCAAATCATGATTTCATTCGCAGAAAGCAACTGTGACAACTCCCACTTTGTATTAGATTCTTTATCTTTCAGTACCACATCTCTCCTCAACACCCTGGCATTCACTTCATTCACAACCCCATTTATAAATATATTAAACAACCATCCTATCATATGTCAACCCATAAATGCAACAAAAACTTCCTTACCTTCATCAACATATTGGTCGCTTTATTCCTTAATGTAAACACTTGGTCTGCACATCCCCTACTCTTCCTAAAACTTTGTTCATCTGCAGTCCTTCTCTCTGTCTCACCCTTAATTGTTTTTACCTCATTTTATAAATTTAGAGATGAGTATCTAATTTCCTAGGTAGTAGGTTGGTAAACAGCAGCCGCCCAGGAAAGCACTACCGTCCTGCCAAGTGAGTGTAAAACGGAAGACTGTAATCGTTTTACATGATGGTAGGATTGCTGGTGGCCTTTTTTCTGTCTCATGAACATGCAAGATTTCAGGTACATCTTACTACTTCTACTTACACTTAGGTCACACTACACATACATGTACAAGCATATATATGCACACCCCTCTGGGTTTTCTTCTATTTTCTTTCTAGTTCTTATTCTTGTTTATTTCCTCTTATCTCCATGGGGAAGTGGAACAGAATTCTTCCTCCATAAGCCATGCGCGTTATAAAGAGGCGACTAAAATGCCGGGAGCAAGGGGCTAGTAATCCCTTCTCCTGTATAGATTACTAAATTTAAAAAGAGAAACTTTTGTTTTTCTTTTTGGGCCACCCTGCCTTGGTGGGATACGGCCAGTTTGTTAAAAGAAAGAGTATCTAATTTAAAGGCAAAATTTCTTTGATACAAAATAACTAAAATATTGTTATTCCCCTCAACAATTGTCACCCTCTTATGCACTGCAGGTTGTGTATGCTCTTGCATGTCTTCTGTAAACTTTAGGAATTTTGTATGGGAAAAAAAATTATAATTTAAAATGTAGTATTGAAGTAAGAACCCTTGCTTCACACCTCTTGGTCTTCCATTAACTTTGCTGGGCATACTAAGCAGTTGTCTGGCAAATTTTCTTATAAGATTATGCCAGGAGGTGAGATATTTGCTTGATGTTGAAGATACTGATGGTGGTTATAGCAAATTAAAGTGGGTAGTAGAAGGAAAATATTTATTGACAGACCTGTGGATGAAGACACTTCTGTACACTTCAAGATACAGTAGACAGTCATTTAACACGGTACATGCATGTAGTTACATTCCTAACAACACTGTGTTAGGTAAGACCGTGTTAGATAAACTGAAGAACTTATGGGAAAAATAGGGTTACATTCCTGGGAGCCCCAAAAAAGCCCAGCAACTTTTTTTTTAGACCTCCAGATCTTACAAAAATGAAAGTGAATATGTAATTGTAGTTCATTGTGGTGATGTATTATGTTGTTTTTACTGCTTAAGACTACAACTGCTTGGCTTCATAGCAAGAAGTATAAATAATAGAAGTCCTCAGGTTGTTCTTCAACTCTGTATATCTTTGGTTAGACCTCATTTTGATTGTGCTGCACAGTTTTAGTCACCGTATTACAGAATGGTTATAAATGCACTGGAAAACGTACAAAGGAGGATGACAAAGTTGATCCCATGTATCAGAAATCTTCCCTATGAGGATAGACTGAGGGCCCTGAATCTGCACTCTCTAGAAAGGCATAGAATTAGGGGGATATGATTGAGGTGTATAAATGGAAAATGGGAATTAATAAAGGGGATGTAAATAGCATGCTAAGAATATCTAACATAGACAGGACTCGCAGCAATGGCTTTAAATTGGAAAAATTCAGATTCAGGAAGGATATAGGAAAGCACTGGTTTGGTAATAGAGTTGTGGATGAGTGGAACAAACTCCCGAGTACCGTCATAGACGCTAAGACATTGTGTAGTTTTAAAAATAGGTTGGATAAATACATGAGTTGGTGTGGGTGGGTGAGAGTTGGACCTGACTAGCTACTAGGTCGAACGCAGTGCTCCTCCCTTAAGTGACATGTCTGACCTCACTAGGTCAAGGCATTGGCTGAAGCCGGTGGGGAGAATTGGAGATGCCTCATGTAGACCAGTAGGCCTGTTGCAGTGTTCCTTATTTCTTATGTTTTTATGAGGGCAAATATTCTATTAGTGGGATGGATCTGTGAAGGACCTGCCTAGTATGGGCCAACAGGCCTGCTGCAGTATTCCTCCTTTCTTATGTTTTTATGTTCTTATTTCTTACTTTAAAATGTGGGTGCTGGTGTTTGTCGACGATTGTGAAGAGAGTGGAGAGTTATGCTGTGGCTCTACTGGGCTGAGGTGGATGGTGAAGGTTCTGGTACGATGGTTGTACAGGAGTGTGCATAAATTCTGTAATGGATTTCTGTTCTGTTTTACCCTGCAGTACATTATACAACTGACAGTAAGGCATCAGCTGCTCTAGACACCATTTCAGGATCCTCTTCAGTGAAAAAGTCTAAGTCATTCAGTCTGTCAAGTCAATTAAGTCATTCAGTCAGTCTAGCCAGTAAGTTTTTCAGTCAAGTCATTCAGTCAGTCAAGTCAGTAAGTTATTCAGCCAAGTCATTCAGTCAAGTTATTCAGACAGTCAGTTAAGTCATTCAGTCAAGTCAGTCAGTCAGTCAAGTCAGTAAGTCATTAAGTCAGTCAAATCATTAAGTCAGTCAAGTCATTCAGTAAGTCAAGTCAGTAAGTTATTCAATCAAGTCAGTAAGTCATTCAGTCAAATCAGTAAGTCAGTCATTCAGTCAATCACACAAACTCTTATTTACCTCATTTTATATGCACAAAGTGACGCTTCATTACGGCCACAGGTTATCACTTGTCTAATATCTGTTTTCTTTGTTAATTCTAAGACTTAAATGCTTATGCCTTTTCTTGACACTTTCAGCAACAATGATATGCCTACTGGGTGTCATGATTGCTTGGCAGATACAAGATATGGTAATTAAAATATCAAAACACAATTCACAAACACAGCTAGCTTGTAGGAGAGAAGTGGAACTGAACACATATTCATGAATGCTGGGATGGTGGTGTTGGGAGTATTGGGTGGCAGGGGATGGCGGGAGATCTCCCCCACTGACCCACAACAAGGCAGCCGCTTGAGGTAGGGAAATTTTTTCCCCTCCCGCAAACTGAACCATGTTAGAATTAATTTTACGAAGTGTTGTATAAAATTGTGTCACAATTCTTCAGTCGTACTGTAACTGAATCATGCCAAATAAACTCATGTTAAATGATGGTCTACTGTATTTATTAGAGGAAATACTTCACCATAAGTCACCTCATTCCTGATTAAGACTGAAGAAGTTGCACAGAGCAAAACCTTTTCTCTTATGCCTTGAACTGTTCATAAGTGATTTCTTTTACATCTTGTTGGTATTATCCTACCTTTTACAACATATTTAAATCACTGACGATATTAGAACTTTCAAGACCAAAATATTTTTTTTACATGATGCCTAAATATTATGATGTAAAATTTTTACATTAATATTATAAATATGGATATTGGTTCTTTTCCTATGTTGTTAAACAAATCTTGTAATCATTCTTCACTTTTTGCAACACCAGTACTGTACTAATAGTAAATAAAACATTGTTAAAACTCATATGGCCATATTTACTTTGTTTCTGGTCATTCTTCCTTTATATCTGTTGTGTTTATTGTTAATGTTTTACTTAGAATTCCTAATTTAGTAATTTTTTAAAAATTCCTGTTTTCAGGTGTGTTGATGGGGATAGCAATAAGGACAGGTAGTCCATTAAGTCTCAACTTAGCAGAACCAGTGTGGAAACAGCTTGCTGGGATGTCTTTAACCCCAGCTGATATAACAGAGGCAAGCCTTGTTTCACATACTATGTATATGATTTGAAAAATTTGTGTAGCACTAGTAGACACTTTTGCCTCATTCTGCCATGGAAGAATAATAGAGTACATTTCTCCACAGGTTCTCTTTTACCCTATTCACTGGTTGATAACCTAATTTTTTCCTCTTCTGTATGTGCTCTTTCAGTTAATGATGATTTACTTCATTTTCCTCAATTTATGTTTTGTAAGCTTATTGTAATACATTGGTTGTCACCCACCAAGGTAGGATGACATGAAAAAGAGGAAATACTTTCACCTTGCCAGAAGCATGTCAACTTCACAGCTCAAATAACTTTCCAAACTGCTGCATCCCCACTTCTACTTTAGAGTGAAGGCACTGTGCTTCTTACCTCCAGCACTTAAGTCCAGCTAACTGGTTTCCCTAAATCCCTTCATAAATGTTACCTTGATCTCACTTCAGCATCATGTCAGTTCATAATAACCACTTGCCTCCACTCGTATTTGACGTGCTCACACAAGCCTGTTGGATATCCAAGCCTCTAGCACTCATAATCTCCCTATCGCCTTCCCTCCAACCCTTCCAACCCCTACCACTCCTTCCCTCTACCCTTGATTCATATGCATTTCTAGTGATCCTGTTTTCTCCTTCCTCTCTGTCTTTCTATCCCCCATACCTAATCTCCAAACTGTGAATTCTCTCCATAATATTCACACCACACATTGCCTTCAAACATGACATCTCCACTTCCTCCACCATCCTCCTTCATGCAACAATTAAAACCCATGCTTTACACCGATATATGTGTTGGTACCATTGTACTCTAGTACATTCCCTTTTCTGCCTCCATGGATAAGGTTCTCTATCTCCGCTGATGACTTGACACACCACTCGCCTTTTTTTCCTCATCTGCTGTAAAGTCCGCTTCCAAATATTTAAATGCATTTACTTCCTCTATTCTCCCTCCAATCTGATACTCAATTAGTGTGTATGTCAAGTGGCAGGTGAAGAAGTCACGCTTGTTTGAGCTCTATCAAAATTGTATTTCTCTGACAGTCCCAGAGGGGCCAGACATGTGCAAAACTTAAGGCACATATACTTTTATAAACCCACATAAAGGAAATACCAGTGATCACTGAAGAGAAAAAATATAGATTGTAGTGTAGAGTGCCAGGCCTCAGAATAACGGCTGTTACTTGAGGGTGTCACACAGGAAATGTGTTTAGCAGTGACTGTAGATCAGTGAGGGGAAATAAGAAAGGTTAGGGATTAGCATAAATTCAAAGAGCAGAAAAGCTAAGAAACGAAAAAGGACTATTGTTAAAACTGCAGGAAAATACAAGATATGATTATTAGTAAAAGTATAGGAGTGGTGCAGGTTGTGAACTAGGCCTCAAGGTGTTTCCACGCAGTGGTCGTGTTGTTGTATACGGAAGGATTGTGTCTCATCTCGTCATTAGTAACATTGTGAGTGATGAGGTATTGATGTTCAGTGATATAGAGATCTTAAATTGTGGATTACAACAGTCTGACAAATACCTAATACATAGTGCATAATATATGGAGTATATACATGGCACAAATACCACTAGCAAATAATTATTGCCAGAGGACAGACAAGTGTAAATACACGATCAGATGAATATTGAACTATCATATAAGTGATATAACGAGGGAAAAGGATATGAATAGGCAGTGATATAGTGAACTGAAATTGTGGATAAGAGTAATCTTAACCCTTTCAGGGTCCGTCCCGTAGATCTACGGCTTTACGTTCAGGGTCCAAACCGTAGATCTACGCCATGAGCTCAGCTCACTCTGATAAACTGTGAGTGGTACATTTGGGCCTAGATATGAGAGAATACATCTATGTGGTATGTGTGCACCACATAAAACAGATCCTGCAGCATACTGTGTATAATGAGAGAAAAAAAATGAATCATGATTTTTCGATTAAAACAGCAACTTTGCAGTGTTTTTTCGTATGTTTTTTATGGTTGTATTTGCGATTTCTTGGTCTCATTTGATAGAATGGAAGACATATTACAGAAATAGAGATGATTTTGATTGGTTTTAGCACTGGAAATGGCTTGAAACTGAGCTCAAAGTAGCAGAAATGTTAAATTTTTGCCGATATTCAAGAGTAAACAAACGACCTCACACGTCTAATACACGTCAGCTGGTGGGTCTAATATACATTCACAAATATGGTGATGATATTTATACAATTATTACAGTATTGCATAACAGTAAATCTTCTATTTTTTGGTGTGAATAAAAATTCATTATGTGAATAAAAAATCAAAATGGAATTTATTTGTAAAGCCTCAAAACATAACTAATGAACAGAGGAAATGTTAGTTTAGTGCCAGGAATGCCTACATTGTTCATTCTGGACCCTATTTTGAAATTGGAATATTTTGAACTTTGTGTTAAATTGGCCAAATTAACAATTTCCAATCACTTTATTTTGTAGTTGAAACAGTTGACTTGGCGATTTCTTGTGCTCAGTCGATAGAATAGAAGTAATACTAGTGAAATAGCTAAGAATTTGGTTGATTGGAATAATGTAATTGGCCTAAAATGGGAGTCAAAGTCGGCAAAATCACCGATTCGTAAATATCGCTGACACATCAAAATTCGCGAGAGCATAATTTCGTCAATTTTCCACCAAATTTCGTACTTTTTGTTGTATTACCTTCACAAAAAGATTCTCTATGTTTTTATAAGAAAAAATAACAATTTTTTTTTTTTAAATTCTTGGACACTGGTGCGTGACTCCAGATTTGGGCCTTGGACCCTGAAAGGGTTAATTAACCCCGAGTGACAGTGTACAATTTATGGTGTAATTACATGGGAACAAATTGCGCAAGCGCCACGTGCACCCCTACCCTCTTTCCACGGCCAGCCCACCACCCATCACCCCACCTCCTCACACCCCTACCCTCTTTCCACTGACCCCCACCTCCCAGCCCACACCCCATTTCACAGCCCCCCCTCCTCGAACTCCTTCCTACCCTCTTTCCACAGATCTCCCAGCCACCTCCCAGGCCCCCACCTCCCAGGCCCCTCAACCTCCCAGGCCCCCAACCTCCCAGGCCCCACCCCAGCCCCCACCTCCAGGCCCCCCACCTCCCAGGCCCCCCACCTCCCAGGCCCCCCACCTCCCAGGCCCCCCACCTCCCAGGCCCCCCACCTCCCAGGCCCCCCACCTCCCAGGCCCCCCACCTCCCAGCCCACCCATAGCAACCCACCACATACACTTGCCCAGGAAGTGAAAATGGCTAGAAATGCAGTCTATTGTATATGTGAAAAAAAATTTGGGAGAAATATTAGGGGCATTGTGAAATATCTGGAAAAAATTCCATATATCATGTACAAAGCTTCATGCAACCATGAGAAATGATCCAAAACAAGAAAGTCGATTCTGGATTTGCCCCAGTGAGATGGAAAGCTGGTTGGGCATGAGAGAGGTACTGACAAGTAAAAACCTAGAAAGCATAAAAAATTTCTAAGGAGCTTGCCAAATATATACAAAGAGTGAAAAACAGGGGGTAAGGAACCAGAAAAGAAGGAAAGCACAGATAAAGATGAAAACCAAGGAGTGGAAATAAGAGTGGAAAATGTCATACAGAGAAAGTCGGAAAAGAAAGAAACATGGGTACATAACATAGTGGAAAGGTGAATGGGAGGAAGATAAAGCTAGAGCAGGAAAAAACGAAAAAAGGGAAGACATACGCCTAGATGAAAGAGAACAAGAGAACTCAGATCAGGTGACAGATCTTGGGAAAGACACAAAAGTAGTATATATAGGCAGTCAAAACATATGCAGATACTATGCAAAAGGTATGTGCCTATATGGCAGAACTTGCTGGAATAAACACACCAGAAAATGTGCCAACATGTTGAGGAAGGGAAAGTCACTTCAACAGAGAGTGCAGGTACTTCCATCCAGAAATGTGTAAAGCTTTAACACAGTTCAGAGAATGTTATGACCTCAACTGCCCAGACCACCGTATAAAAGGAATGTGGTGCTACAGAGAAAGAAAAAATGGACAGCAATCTTTTTTAGACATAAAGAGAAGAGATCGAACCAAAGACAGACACAAAAAGGGGTAATGGTACAGAGAGGGCAGATGGGCAGCAAAATGGGACATATCAAACCAGGCATCAGCCCAACAGGGCCAAATAAACAACCAAATGCAAAGTCAGTACTGGAGAAACCAGGGGTATGTACACCAGGGGTCATACCAGGTGGTACTAATGAAGCACAAAGTGAAACAAAACATCCCAAATGGTAATTCCTGCTTTATATTTGCAAATATTCAGGGTTTGAAATCAGATAAAAACAACAAAGTTAGTTATGTCAGTGGACTCTTAACAGAAGCAAATGCCATGTTTGGAGCATTTACAGAAACACATACAAGGGATGTTTTTGACGGGGAAATAAAGATAGAAAACTATAACATGTATAGACGTGATAGAATTAATAGGTCACAGGGAGGAGTAGGAATCTATGTAAATACTCTGTTGCACAGAAGTGCTGCACTCTATGAATGATATAGTAGAAATCCTAGGCATTAAAGTTGAAAATAGGAATTTGGTAATTATCCTAGTATACAAACCACCATCAGTAACTGCTGAGGAATTCACAGATCAGCTAAGGAAGATAGATAGCTATCTGGATAGGCTAGAAAATCCCACACCAAATATTTTACTCCTTGGAGATTTTAATCTCCCTCATGTAAAATGGAAGATGGTGCAACGTAATGTCATACCAGAAATATCTCCGAGAAACATCCTGGTCCAACAGGCACGTACCAGGGAACTAATGAGGCTTTGTGAAAAGTACTCACTAACCCTTAAACTGTCCACACGTAGATCTAGCTTCATGTGCGGGGGGATTTGAACGTAGATCAATGTTTTATTTTTCATTCCTTCATATTTGGTGCGATAGGCCTGAATCACCTAGACATGAAAGAATAGGTCCGTGCACTCAGTGTGCGCAG